ACCTAAATCCAAGTCGATACCATGGCACTCGACAGCGAATAATTAATCCAGACGGCAAAAAAGTGTCAGTGATCATGGGGGAATTTAAATTAATGCAATCAAATCGACGAGTTCCTTGGCGGTGCTTTCTTTGTCATTTAACCATGGTGGAGTGTATGTGCCTAGGAGACAACTGTTTATCCAATTTCCGTGGTTTTCTAAGGCACTGCAAATGTGTGATAAATTGTACTTTTCGGCGAAACCGATAATGACAGCTCCGACTGCCATCAATTGTGAAAAACTTCAATAACGACAAGAATGGTAGGGATGCTAAGCTACCTAAAGAAGGCTGAGAGTGAACCCTAAGGACTACTTTTAATACACCTTGCCATTGTGCACTAATTCAAACCTGTAAAATGGCCCATCATGGACCACTCTGGGAAAAAAAGTTGACCTGAATTCAAACAGACACCTATTTGGACTATCAAGACTTGCTTTTAAAATGTTTAAGGACCATTAGGAATCTGGCCTTTAACAAAGAGATAAATATCTATGTGGGATTGTCAAACCTTTGCAATCCTGCAACATATTCTAGCTGACTACGCCACCAACAGAGGAATGTATTTGTTCCACGTTTATCGCACCCTGCACGGCACGCGCGCAGTCCGAACAGACCAATGAGTCGTCGCCATCATTACGATGGAAAATATGGATTTTGACGACTGTGTTAGGGGCTCGTGCACTTCCATTACAGCAATCTCTAGAGCATATTTCCGATTCGCATAATCGGTACATGGGAATATTTGGGGAAAATTTTATGATTAAAGAAACCTTCACCTTGAGTCGAATGAAAGAATCGTTGGTGAATGACTTTAAGTTGAGCGACCTAATGAATCCATTTTGAAACTACTTAGCTTCGATATTCGATTATATTAAAATAAATGTCAGCGAGAGTAAGAAGAGTCAATGGTATTCAACTCACTTGTGCTATCGCGGCAATAGGGATGAGGCATCTTTTCTTGGATGCCTCTTCATTCGGCGGCCTGTCCAACGAGTCGTAAGTGCGAAGATTCATCTCGGCGCTCTAGTGATAATTAAAGAAATCCACTTTACAGGGCTTGAGTGAGGATTGCTAATGGATACGGTGGGCCAATTGGGGGATTAATTGAGAGTGGGCTGGGAAGGGAAGGCGAAGGGACGTGACGTGAGTGGTGGAAACGTGTTCACTAGGCCTCCACCCCTCATTGGGCAGTCAAGGGACGGTGTTGATTGGCCGGAGGAGGAGCTCACCTGACTATGCTTATGCCATACGTGAGCTGGCGTAGGTGGGACGATTACTTCACCGATGAAGTTTGCGTGGGGGGTAAGCGCGGACACAGTAGTGTATGCAATAAGTAAAAATGGATGTGAGTCTTGTTTGAGAGTAAAAGAAAGCTTATTCGGAACCATCCCTCCTATCAAGATCAAAGGCTATCAAAACCAGGTTTTTGAATACCAAGCTAAAGTTTTGTAGTTTTCATTATTTTAAGTAGAAATTGAAGATTTTTTGAAAAAAGGCAATTAAAAATGGCAGATATATATAGGCAATTCCAGACATTCGTTCTTACCCACATCTGTGCATGAATCAGAGTTTTTGAAATACGCACTGGAAGCTGTGAAAATAAAATGACTTATGTGTGTGCAAGTCCGCGGTGGATATGAGCAAAATTTAAGCCACGCCCTTATTGGGTGGTGACATCACCAATGGGTGAAACCGCTTAGATTTTTTTGCGCACACACGATGAGAACTAACCGGAAGGCTGTGTTGTCGGTGATACCAGCCTATTCAGAGTTTTGTAATGCACCACTCAGAGGGAAAGGAAAGCTGATGAGCGCTCGTTTAACCAAAAGGAATCACGTTTGCCTTTATGCACTCCATAAATACTTCATTAACACCGAAGTGACCGGAATCGGGATGGACACATACGTTTATGGTATTTTTAAAACCACTTTGAAGTCCCATCAACCAATAATGTAGCTTACTTCGTTGCAACAAACGAGTAGAAGTGCTGCAAAATTTAATGTGAAGCAAAGCATGATAAAAGACATTTAGAGTATTATTTAACGAGTCCTTGAAAATGGTAACAACGAAAAGTGTGATAAAGGATTAACAAAGCAAACTCAATGAAGTATAGACACAGCTGAGACAATTTTGCCATAAAAATCCTATGCTTTTATGGACAAATAAAGTAAACAAAGTTAAGATATGCGCCCAATTTAATGCATAGACTTGACCACAATAACATATTTTACGAAAGTAACGCACGTGAATCATTTGTATGATAATATAGAGCCCAAAACATAATATCGAAATTGCAAGAAATGGTAGAACCCAAGTTGTATGACAGTGGAAAAAATAGTAAGTGCAAAAGTACAAGTAAAATACGAAATGACTTTTACTTCTAGTTAACGAAACACAAGTATAGCATGTGGGTCTTCGGGTAAAATTAGGCAACAGCAGAGCTCCCAAAATAATAATAATAAAAATTGAAAATACCTTCACTATCGCTAGTAAAAGTATGCTAGAGAGCGGAAGTCAGACCAGTTGCGAACGCCACAACTCATCGAGACATCATTATGAAGTAGTGAGTTAGAATTTATGAAAACGCAACAAGTTGGGTGTCTATGTGGTAAATTACATAACCACATTGTTGCTCTACCCAAAAATGTCAAAGTTGGCCATTATTTAAAGAAGGATCCATAGAGAGAAGTGTGCTAATGAATGAGACCGGAATTCTATCATGCATTCGATAGGGTCCTAAATAATTTTGTGTTTTACTGAGGTCTACGCGACATTTTTGAAAGTCCAGCAAACGTGTAGCAAGGTAGGCTTTTGACTGGATAGAAGCTATAGTTGAACATATAGGGGATTTACTAGGATACCATCTATCTTGCAGGCCTATTTTGCGGTTAACTGCCATTCGTTGGCAATAATTAAGGTGCAAAAGAGTCTACAGGCATTCAAATATGCATGGAGAGCAAAAGTCAGGGTGTTACTTCTTGTCAGCAGAACGCATAACTTTGCTACTATAAACAGATGGAGAGTAATATATGAGCAGCACAAAAGGGGCAATTTAGGACCGAAAGTCAAATATTGCATATATGGAGTATGATAAACGGAGCTTACACTTCCTTCAGACATTTCAAAAAACCGTCCAGCTGTGAAAACCGCAAAATCACGAGCAAGCTCGCATTTGTACAACCTCCGACCTTGTGCCCCAACTGGATGGAAAATTTAAACAAACAAACCTCATAAACACTCCAGCGTAGCTTGGCCCCCATAAAAAATTTAGGAGAGTAGGGCAGGTGAATAACATATTTGAAACGACAAGCATCAATTCGCAACTTGAAAGGAATCCCCGAACTAACTTAATGGGGAAAAATGGCTTTTAGCTTTTTTCCCACAATAGCCACATGTCTTCTTATTAAAATTTCTTTGTGCCAGCAATTTCCTTTTATTGTAATGATGGTAAAGCCTTGTTAATTTTAAAAATGAGATAATTTACTTTAAGGCCTTTCAGTTAGCGCCTTTTAGGATTGCAAATTTAACGTTTCAAGACTTCTCTGAAAACTGAAAACAACATAGGATTCAGATAGAGTTTTGAACTTGTTTGTTGATTATATGATGGGTGAATTGGTGTTCTTCTACACCTCGCTAATTGCGTAAAAAGACACAACATTCGGACAGAAAATAGGCTTGACATATAGCAGGCCTTGGGACTGCAGGCTTGTCCGGAGGCCGGTACACACAGTAAAGGAAATGGTCAAGACACAAAGTGGAACCTTTACTAAAACTGAGCGTTACCGAAATAATTAAAGCACCAAATAGCCTCACTCCTCATTAGGCGTTGACCGTAGTGCATCCATTATTCAATTTTTCGAGTCAGACATCACATCGTAATCGACGTTGTAGGAAAGCACTCACGAGCTAACAGTACCAGCCATTAAGATTACGTGCAATAAGGAAATACCGGGCCAACGCATCGCCGACTTCTTATTGCATTTCTATGGGATCTGGTGTTTCATCTGGTACGGGAACCGGATTTGGAGACATTGGTATGTGCTGGCCATTGTACTTACGCATAGCAATTCGGCGGTGCCCTAACCTTAAAGTAGAGTCGTGTGACAAAGAATGAGATTGATTATAGCCCCGTGAGGGTAAGACATTGCATCTTTTTCTCCTCTCAACGCAGTTCTCAATCCAGAGCTGCTCAGTTATATCTGCTTGACTTCTATTTGGGTAATATAAAAGTGGAAAAGTCGTTTTTTCTTATATTTTTTAAGACCCCACACAACTGCTATTAACAGCTCTATCACGAAACTTTTCTTGTTGGATTACGAATGGTAGTGCTTCCAAAATTAATAGCTTTCATACAGATCAAGAGGCTTGGGTGGTTTTTCGATGGTCAAAGTCATTGGCAGTACTTATGTATGAAGTCGTAATTTTTTCTCTCTTCTTCAGTTATATGTACTTTTTCATCAAGACAATTTTTATCACTCAGAATGTGGAGGCCTATATAGGTATCCCTCAAGATTGATTGTGCTTTCTGCTGCCAACAATATAGTGCCTTAGACTTTGTCATGAACAGAAAGAAGAGATAATACACTTGGATGGAATATACATGCAGCACACAGTGGGGTCTGACCCTACAGGCATGGTCTGGAGGTAAGCTGACCTGCTGTAGGTACAATAATTGGGATTCCAGGCGTTTCCATTATTAAAATTAAGCAATGATTTTGCGTAACTTAAATGGTGCTGCTTTAAATTTTAATACAGTTAGAATCCTTCTGTTAACAACTTTTTAGTCCTGTTTGGGACACCATTATTCTTTTACCGTGGGTTTTTGTAGTTTTTTTAACCAACTAGGACATATATTAAAATATTTTGATTTATGGTGATAAATGCACAGTAATTTGCCCTAAACTTTAAAACTAAGCTACTTATTTTTAGGTCCGCATTTCTACGCTTGTCTCAAAACGAGTGATACACAATTTATTATTCTGATTAGAGTTGCTTGCCATTCCTTTACCATTTTGTTAGAAAATTTAATGTTCGCTTATTTCATCTAGTGTTAGTGTACTGTTTGCTTCCAGGCGAATATTGGGATTTTTCCTTCTGACTCTTTTAATCGTCCGATTTATAGATGTGCTTCTCAATAACTTCTGGTGTAAATGACAAATAGAGCTTTACTACGTTCTCTCCTGAAGGAACTACGGAAGTGCTCCAGTGCACCTCAAGTATGTATCGCTTTCCACGATCCGAATATTAGCAGCAATTTACTCAAAGTCCATTTTACAAATATATCCTATCTCAATTTCGCCGCTTTGACACGACCACGGAGCAGCAGTGTTCTCCTAAACACGAAAGTATGCAGGTGGCAGAAACGTATTTGACCCTTCTGAAGGCTGTAGCGAGACATCGCGTACGCATCAAATCCCTTAACATGCAAATACCCCAACCTTCTCTTGAGTTTGCGTTTTTGAGTTTGCTTCTTTTTTTTAGCAACTGGTAAATACCTACAAATGTCGCGAGAAGACTGCTTCAGAGGCTGCAAAACTAGTTGGACTTTCACTTCCTGCAACATACTCTGGAGAAAAATGACTTCCCTTTAGACTTATGCTGTACATAATTTGCCGACTGATCCATCACCTCATTAAAATTCAGATATACAGTTCCCTCCTCCTGTTTTTCGGTCAGTTGCGAGTCGTAAAATGTCATACCCTGCTGGTCGAAAGTCGTCGCCGAGAAACTGTTTGTATTTTACATCTATGGCTATCGTAATGGATATAATCGTTTTCGGTATTAGTCCAATTATTCTCCGCACCAGTTACCATTTGCATTCAGGGATTGTTTATATAGTTTAGTTTAATGAGTTTCATCCTGTTTGTTTTCATGATCGCTTCCCGTAGATGCGCAGTTTCATTTTCTTGTGGCAATTCAGTTAGATGACCAGCTGTCGTAATTGTTTGGTTTACTGTATTCACCTAAGTAGGATGTTTTGCCTTTTTTAATTTACTTAGTTTTCTTACTCTCCCACCTGATTTGCGATGAAAAGCATTGGCAAATGGATGTCATGCCTTTGGAAATTCTATTGAGGAAATAGCTAACCACATCGGCAAAAAATTTTTTAATATCTTGGTGAATTTCTTTACTGTTAACGTTGAGAGATCTGGGTTTTCCGTTTATGATGTTTACAACTTACCGTACGTAAATGTGCTATTTTTTTAAGCCAGTGTAGTACGGAACCGGACTGTTAAAATTTGTTTCTGTTCAATGTACTGATATCGAATGGTTTATTTGCGTAAATCCGCAATTTCTTGCGTTATTTTCCTAGTCACTTGTTGCATCTTCCAGATTTCGCACTCCTAGCCCAAATATGTTTCGCATGTTTTTGCAACGGAAGGTCACACATACTCACGCACTCAGACAGCAACTTTTTAAACGCTTTGTTGGCTTTATAGTTGTGTCTGTCACGTATTTATCTGTCACACACAAGCCGCCAGAGCCGATGTCGGAGTGGACAATAGCGGTAATTCATTGAGCCTAACAGTTGCTAGACTAATCGTTCCCCTGGTTATCACTGCCTTTTTTGGATCCTAGTTTTGTTTGGATTATTTGACTCTGACCTCACGCCAAGTAGGTAGTGAAGTTCACGGGCCACGACTATTGGCACTCTTAGCGCCTGTTACAATAATCCAAGTGTGGAGGCGCTGATTCCGCCCTCCTGTACCACTAGCAATCGTAAGTCGAATCATTTCGCCTACGCAAGACACTGAGACTACGTTGGTGATCTCCACACGGTGTTAATTTAATTGACAATCCATGTCAAATCTGAATTTCTTTTAGATGGCGGTAGGTTGGTAGGGGATGAAAAAAACCTTAACCAAGTTTTTTGGCCTCGATTCACATCGTATTCCCCACAGACCATTGTGACCTTTGTTGCAGCGTAAAAGCCATGCACCGGTGATCTATGCCACGATCGTAAATATGATCTTCCCAACAAAATGTCAAGTTCTGTGTAGGTAATTACGTAGCATCTTGTGAAAGGCTTTCTTTCCAACTTAATGAATTATCTCAGTCCAAAAGTAGGGGTGATGTAATAGTGGTAATTGTTCGAGTCCACGATTTAACTCCACCTTAGCGTGGTGTAGGACAGTTTGAAATTAGGGAAAGAGTAGACCCGACCCGTCTACGGGGCTCCCCATGACCGCTTTTCTGCTTCGTCCATAATCACGACGGTTTTATGCCTTATGTATCTCCATGGTGGAAACACATGCTGCACTATTAGTGCGGATTTGAGAATGTTACATTCTTTTCAAGATGGACTGCATCGTGAAGCCATTGATTTGGAAGGTAGATTTAGAGACAGGGCGATGCTTTACGGTGGGTATGAACGGTGTCCCACGGCGCTACAACGGTTAGAACTTGCACAGTCCAAGTAAGTTCATAAATTGTTTTATAATCATCTCCCTGTGCATGTAAAAGCTCAAAACAATGCCTCAGGATACCCTCACCACTGGTTTACTTCAAAAGATTGGCTCTCATTTGCCTAGAACAATAGTACTGTGGTTTGTACTTCTCCGGGGCTATAATCCAGACTGTCGAGCAGTCGTTGACGCCGTCATATCATGCGCCTAGGATTAAATTAAACTTTTATGCGTCTCTTCAGACTGTTTCATTCTGCAACACACAATTTTTCATCCTGAAACATGGATGCCAGTTTTGGATTTTGATATTTAGCCTGTAGAATTCAGTTATTGTGAGTTACATGTGTTTGCATTCTAGCGCTATTGCCACAGTCGGTGAGGGTGCTTTTATGTTCTACATTTGATTAAAGCAACAAAGAATTTGTCTACAAACTGGGCACAATGCCAAATAAAAGACATCGGGAAAGGTTTTTTTTGAATGAAAGTTCATCAAACATACGACCGCAGCCTGTCCGTCCCAGTTCATGACCCCAGTGACAAAATTAAAAGGGGTTTAACTTAAACGTCTGTAACCACCCGCCTTAACAGCCAAGCTGCAATTAAAGTCATCAAAGTTATGGCGTTGCAGAGCATTCAGGTCAGAGGTTATAATGATGCCTCACAGCCTTTGGTACACAGTCATGCCTGTATACCTTGTTACCTCCATGCCCCAGTAAGTTAACATGACTATGTGGAAGAAAAAAAAACAGTTGAAATGGGTAAAATATCATGCCTAAAGGAAGGCGTGAGGATGCATTGAAGTGACACTCAAAAAGTGTTGCTAAGACCCATTTCATGGGGTTTTTGAACATTTGCATAAATAAAAATAATCAGGTCTGAATAAGACAGTTTCATCTCAGCTCGATACAAAAGGCCGAAATTTAACAGTTCCAAAGACTATAGTACTTAAGGAAAGCAAGGAATTGGTGTACTCAATTGAATTTGAATGTTCGAAAAATCGTTCACTTTAAACCGGGACTTAGGCCATTTCTTTACGATACTACACTCCCTAATTAGTGTCATTTGGCCTTTCCGGGATTCAGATCCCCGGGCCCACCGAAGACTTCAAGCACAGATTGTGCAGAGATAAGACTCACAGGCGCTCAGCTGTCAAACACTTGATTGAATGGTGTCAAAGTGTCAAAGACGCGCATTCATACGTGTGTATGCCAATGAGGGTGGTAATGGGTGGTTGTGACTCCTCCCCTGTCAATCAACAAGTCGGTTGTTCCTGTGGCTCCTCAAATAAGCGCCACGGTGCCGGCTTAACGTGTTCTTTACAATGAAATTAATCGTTTTCGACGGGAGGTGAACTGTTTTCCGGTAGTTTAAACATCAGTAGTAGTGACAAATCTTTCAATGCCAAAGCTGACTTCAATGATAAGTGCATAAGCCTAGGAGGGCGAGGCTTCATCCCCCTCGAGACCAATCACAAAAAATTCTGAAGTCCCAGTTAGATTTGAACGCACAAAGTGAGATCGCTAATTATTTCAAGTGTTAGTTTTTATAATAGTAGTACGGATTATTGTCTCTTTCAGTAGCTATTGGAACCCTAGTACCGATTGCACGCAGCTCCGACCTACCCTCTCTCAGTTATAGTTGCTTAGACGATATTTGGTACACTAGACAATCTTATCCCGTCCATAGGGAAGCAAAGGAATGTCAGCATCCAAGTGATTTATGAGGTGGTAGGAACTGTGAAAATGCATCAATGTTCACTGCCACGTTAAAGTGGTCACTTGGGTGCTTCAAAAGTCTCCACTTTGGACGGATAAAGGAGGCATAAAACTGCTGGAATGCAGTTAGCCAGGGCAGTAAAGTCCCAGATGCCCTTTGTGTTTCTGTGCATTTAAGGTAGTACAGGAAGGCTTGGGTATGCTGTTTGTGAACTACATTGTGTTCTCACCTTTGGAAAGAACAATTTAATTTATTTCTAACGCTGCCAATCACTTTATCCAGTAATGAATAGGCACCGATGTAGGAGCAAAATACCCACAACAATGTGCTAATTTGACCTCAGTGTTTTTCACTCAAGTACAAGTTTATTTACATTTATGAGAGTTTGCATTCTTCATTCACTCTTTTCCCAACAAGTTGGGAAAGGGCGCTAACTAGTCATCGAGACTCCACGATCCGTGTCCTCCCCGGCGCACCAATTTGAAGGAGAATTTGTCACCAATGCGCAAAAAGCACCTGGGTGGATCCAATTTTGACTAGAAAGGCCAATCCCACCGAAATAGAAGTGAAGAATAGAACAGGGTCAAAAGCTCGCAGGTCAATTTTACCATGGAACAAATACCAAATCACTACAACCCTTCTTGGTGCTAATGGAGTCGGAGTGCGGTTATCTGGAGGTATTCCACTCCAGCCGTTGGAAATGTTGGAATAATCGCCTTCTAGCTGCATACAGAAAGTTTTGCCCAAGTGCATCCGAGGCGAACCACTAAACACCCAAGCCATTGCTTCCTTCAAACCTTCAAATTAACTACATGAGCTCTTCAATTTTCGCAATGTTTACCTTCATATTGATGGTACAGCCTTCTGACCTTGCTTTTAGCCTCCTGGGCCATTTGTCTGTGACGAAAAAAACCTTTCCGTTAACCTGGTTTGGTTTATTACGATTTAAGCGAAGGGGCGGGATGATGCATAGGTGGGAGGATCAAGCGATCCAAATTGCCTTAGCTAACTACAAGGCCTCTAGTTCATGCAAGGAAGGCAGCTCCTAATTATGTCTGGGTAGATGGATACCTGATACCGAATTCCAAAAGGAGGCATCAAACTTCGGCGATCAGAAAATCTCCATAGTCGTGCAACCAAAGGTACTTTCCATAGCTGAAGCAAATGCTAACGTAAGGCTAGAGAGCAATAAAATGAGAAGATGGCAAGGAATAGATGCATGAAGGCAGTCTCAAATGCCTCTGCTTTGAAACTCGTGTTCCCAGAAATAGAGAGTGGTGTCGAAAGTGGACTCGTTGTAGAGCATCTCAGTGGGTTAATCGTTCGCCATCGACGCAGTTCACAAATTGGAGCTAGGTTGTGACAAAAGAACCGGAAGAAGTGACCAGGGTGTGTGATAGCGACCGACATCTAATGAAATGAGGATGCGTTGTTGTTTAATTCTCATTCAACTACGAAGGCTCCGGAACCCCTGTATTTTGTCCTTCCGTTTTGATGACACTGATTTTCGACGGTATGGCAAACTACAACCACAAGAAAGACTGGATGGTCAGCAGTACATTCGCACATTTTGGTTCATGATTTGCTGTCTTGTTCTATTTCAACGCTTGAAAGGGATGGAGATGAAGCCCAATGAATCCGTCAAGCGCTGGAAGGCCTTACGCACAGACGGAGCGTTATGACACTAAAATGGCAACCGAACCCAGTGGGTCTTAACGCTCGTGACTTTAAGCACACGTTACCACTGACGACCTCGTACCATTCTCAAGTTATCACTTATTTTAGACATGGCAGGTGTAGAGACTTAAATGCTAATTAGTCGGGTGACCTCTGTGAGGCATAAATCAGTTTTCCAGGTCAAAGGCAGGCCATTTTACAGTAAAACCGATCTTCATATAGTTATTCACGTCCTATACACGATATTTTTTAAGATATTATTAAGTTTTGAGGTCCGCAGCGTACTTTGTGGCCGAAACGAGTAGAGATAGTACAAAATTTTTCTACGCGTTCAACATGAACCGGGACTTTTGAGTTATAAAGCATTAAAAAAATACCTTTTGAAGTGGAATTTGAATTTTTGTTTTCTTACAGTGCTCTTCTGCATTTACACTAATGCAGTTATCCTCAGCTCTCAAATATCGTCTGAAGAGCAGGTTTGGTGCGTAGAGAGTTGACGGTACGACTGCCAATCTGCCTCCACATCATTCCCCTTCTTTGATTTTATTCAAAAGCATTATGATGCAACCAGATTTGAGAAGGTAGAATGGTGCTATTTAGCTAACTATTATATTTTCTTTTCAAAATTTACTCTTTTTACTGCTCATTGGACTATTCAACTGCCATGTGGGGGCAGAGACGGAAAGCTATTTTTGTACCTGGCGTGGGTGTGACAATCATTCAAAATGCCAAATATTCACGGGTGAAATTAGCGTCCTTACGGAAAAATTTTTAATATCATGACAAGCTACGCATTAATCAGGCCTTTTCCTGTGGCGAAATGTTGCATTGCTGATCATCAGGGGCCAAGTCACAGGTTACTGCTACCATCACCACAATCCTACAGACGTACGGGAGCGGATCTTTGACACGTTGGCATCATTTCAATCAAGTGTTTGACGGCTGAACGCCTGTGCGCCTTATGACTGCACAATCTGTGCTTGAAATCTTCTAGCGACACAAGTATCCGTGACTCTCACCTCCTAAATGTCAAAGTGATCATTCACTGGTTAACAATGGTATGATTTTGGTCGAGGGTGTCTCGACCGTGTTGGAAAGAGACACATGGCGCATGTCGATTACCGGCTATTTAATCCTAAATTCCAGTTTACCCTGGTTTGCCAAGTCCAGCTAGCTTGACAGTTGTTAGCACTTGCAATCAGTTGTCAATGCAGTACTCTGTGCCGCTTAATAGCTAAACCATTTAGAGAAATGTTTTAACCTCTTGCTTTGTCAAAAGGAATTCTACATTGATCTGTAGCGTCTGAGTTATTCCAAGCGAGGTATAGCACAGCCCTCTGCTGACACCCAAGTGAATGTGTGTGCGTGAAATGGGTCTTGTGCCGTGCCGAGACTCCCAGTTAAGGAGTCTGTGAGGAAGGTGACTGTGTCTGAGTGTATTTTTCAAACAACCCTAATTGCTGGACTTCATTTGGACCACCCAAACAGTAGACATTTACAATTGGTTGGAGCGAGGACATTCCAATACAAACGGACGAAGTGTCATGTGCCCACGAAATGACACTCTACTTTGAAGACGTGGAAAATTCTATTCAAATTTGTGACCTCATAAGGTCATATCGGAATCCTTGTGAGTCTTGTTGGGACCGCATGTTGAGATTCGATTGCTTTCCTAGCTTAGAATCTTAAATCGTTGCCTCACGTAAGCTTGAAACGTATTTTCGTTATCTTTCACAGGCACAAATTACTTCTACAAATAAAGTTCAAGTGCTATGGAAGGTGCAAAGTACAAAATAAAAGCCTTTGATGGGGTGGATTTTCTTCACAAACATGTGATTCAGCTGGTGTTTATCCAAGTCACCCACTCAATTGCTTGCTTTCATTAAAAAACGAAAAAAGGCATCATGACGGAGACTTTACATTCACATTCATGTGAGGCACTTGCCTTGGAAATGACTTTTTTACATTCCCATATAAATGGTTAAACGACAACACTCAGTTGCTTAGCCCAATAAAGTGGCGGGAGCTATCAAGAGGGGAGGCGGAAAGGTGGTTAGCCATCAGGATAATGCAGTCGCTTAAATCGACACGAAACACACTACTTGAATTGCGGGGTTCAGTAGGCCTGGATATAATTTATAAGTTTTACGGCTTCTCAATGATGTGCGAAGTTTTGCTACCATGAGGCTGAATTAGGTGAAGTCGCCTTAAATGTTGGAATTAAAATATATGCAGTTTTAAGTTATATGAACTTCCAACCGGATTCCACTCTTCCACCCAATTTTTCACCGTCTTCCGCTTCACTTATGCTTCCAAATCTGTATATGATTGTCTAGATCCAAGAGAAGGTGATAAGCAAGTGGGGATTAGCAAAATGTCATTAGAAAAAGTGCTGAATAAGCGGCAATATCACCCTCTCTCACAAAATAGGTTTTGAAGCGATACAAAGTCTTGTGTTGCCTATTGAGACGACTGGCTCAATTTTTCCTCTCAGTTACATTCAATTTGCGTTACATCAAGCAGTTAAATCTCACCTGTAATTACATACTCTTCATCACGTAAATACACGAAGAGAGGATAGCCCTGAGGTGAAGTGTTGAGTGCGTAAAGAGTGTGATGTTTGTGAACGGTCAACAACATGACTGCTCGATTATCGTTGTAGTACAAGAGCTATTTCACATCACACGCCAGTCCAGTAGTCTGTCAGCAAATAGTCTAAACAAATTGGCACGAGTGATGTACCATGTGAGAAAAGCGTCGAACACCATGCTGCTGATGTTTGCGGCTGGTTGCCACCTGTTAGTACATGTGAATGGGACCTACTTACTCAACTCTATCAGCGGCTTTAACAGGTAACGTAGGAGTAAGCGAACTATCTCATCACCCATGATACTAAAGCATGTTCTTATCACGTAAATCTCACGTCACTTTAAGCAATGACGGCTTGCAGCTCTTCATGACTAAGGTTGGAAAGACTTCCTCAACTTGATAGAGCATCTGTGATTGGTTCACCGCCAGAATTGCGAAATTCAATTAAATCATTCCTGGATCGACTGTTCTACTGATGCACCTTCACGGAGTTCTGTGGAACAGACTTGACGATGGCCACTACTATCACCTTTGAAGGTGGGTTAAACGGGAACCAGCAAGGCGGACAACCTCAAATTTCCTACCAATGAGGTCCAACCGGCATTCAATGAACTTAAGGTGAGGAGGAAGAGGAGGAACTGATGGATTGGCGCATAATGCGCATTGTAATAACTGTACACAATCGCAGGCTCCTGGCAAGTCCTTATCACGAGTTAAATCAAGTCACTAGAAAACTGCACAAGATGTTTTCAATCACCTCTTGAAATGCCATTGTTGTGAAGCATGTGACATAAGTATTGCTACCATCGCATCATAATTTGTACTCTCAAAGTAGCTTCTTTCAGTAGCACACAAGCAGTTACCTTTGTCTGCCTTTTAAGATAGTAAATTAATCAAGAATTAATTCCTTTTCCTCTTAATAATTCACTCATCTATTGTTACTCCCCAACTGCATTATCCACTTCCCCTACCTACCATCCACCAATTGGACTGAGGTGACACCTTCTTCCGTATAGCTAATCCTATCAGGCCTAGCGCAAACTTTAAGGTCCTTAAAAAGATAAAAGGTGTTACCTAGATCAGGTATTAGGTCACCGAACCCTAAGATCTAGCGATGAGCAGGCAGTAAAATCGGTTTAGATATTTAATATACGAACTTGTGATCACACTTCCGCACTTTTGTGCAAAGCGTCTGCGAATTTGCAGGACTTAGTACATTCGCCGAATGCTTTTTATGAGATTCGCTTTTGCAGTGCGGATTCGTTAAAGTGCGAGGACGGCATAAAAAGAACACCCGGTGACCCGTGTTAATTAGCCATCATTTGGTATTTGCAAGTACACCACGTGGTCATTAGACCTGGATCATTCTTCCTACCGATTAACGCCCAAGCCATCAACAAAGTGGAAGCACCCATTCACGGTGCATCAAAACATCACCTCAGATAGTTAAAAAAAAGCAAAGAAACCGTTCTAATGTCGTAAATACTTGAAATTGGAAAAGAACGGCATTAGAAATGAGTACGGAGCTCCATGATCTCTTCGAGCTGGCGTAAACTTTGTCTCTGTGAAAAATCCCTGGTGAAATGCTAATGAAGCGCTTAACCCACTCTTGGCTATCGTCTACATCCCTACATACGATTAAAAATGCAAAAAACTCGTCTCCTTCTATGTTTACAAACACGCGAGATTTATTGTTTGGCTGTGGTTGCAGTGACTGCAATAAGTTACCTTAAGAAATTCAGGAAGTGTATATAAAGTCGTGGACTTTTAATGTATAAACGGTTAAAGAAAGGTGCTGCAAAGCATACACCCATAAGCATATTCTAATGAGACAAACAGCAAAGTTACAGTAGTGAAGCTGAGCCGAACGTACTTCATCATAACCTGTACTGTTCTTTGTAAAAAGCAATGGAAAAATAGGTCAGAAGAGGCTTTAAAACAGCATACCAAAGACATGCAACAATTTACGAAAGGTACAACGCCACGCGTGGTGTACGATTCAACCCTATCCAACCCACTGACCGTAGGTTGAAATATTCGTCATCAAGCTGACGCGTCCAAACAGGGTGTGGCCACACCATTGGCTAGTGTATAGCCAATCAGGTGGCAGCAACGCCCATTGGCGCTATGCTGTGTACCACCATTAGCTGCTGTGAGAGCCTCACAGTCTTGCAAGTCAGCGTTGAACGCACTACCACGAGACAGGCACGGTGTGGAACCATCTACTTTGTCTTTCCAAAGTCCCCCTTCCTTATTACGAACGCAAGCAAGGCAGATAATGGACAATGACTCGTAACAGTCAACTAGAGACGCGGGCTTGCTCGCTGCCACCAGAAAATTTGGTTGTGACGAGTAGATATTCCCCACTGAAAAATAATCAGAATGTCAAAGCGGAGCATCTGTATCAGAAAAATCAAAATAACTTGACTACAGGAGGCAAGATGCGAATGCCAAATAGTGTTGATTTGAGTCTTGCAGAGGATACCTACCCGGGATGCAGTGACTACGATCCCTGTTCTCCTGCCTCTATTGATGTAGGCAATGGAAATAACAAACACTCACCGAGCGACTGTAGTAGTGCATTTACAGATGAAGATAGCGGTTGCCAGGTATTCTATTTTGGTAATGCTCTTCGTGTGGGTTCCAAATGTCGCATGGGTAGGGCCTGTTCGGTCTCTGCACTGGATTCTCCCTCCGTCCAGCCTTTCAGCAATAAAGATGAATTTCTCGCAGCAATGACTGAAGACCTGGCAGACTGGATGTCGCGATTATATCCCGACATCGCAAAGGACCTCGATGCTGAAATTTTTTTCGACCGAATCTCTGATGGTGTGCTTCTTTGTCACCATGCAACTGAACTACATCGTTTGCTTGAGCGGGAGTTTCCTGTGAGTCTTCAGAATGGTGAACGAAGGTTGGAAGGTGTGCAGATTGGTGGAGTAAAACCCGTTCTTCCTCCCAATCCTCCAACCTTTCAGTCTCGCGGTTTTAACGCTGTCAACTTAGCTGGAGGCAGTTTCTGGGCTCGTGACAATGTCGCTAACTTTATCCACTGGTGTCGAGCAATGCGGTTACCAGACTGTATCCTCTTCGAGACGGAAGATCTCGTGTCCCGCAAAAATCTTCGCAGCGTTATTGTCTGCTTACTAGAGCTAGCTCGTCTTGGTGGACGGGTCGGTATGGAAGTGCCTGAAATCATTTACCTTGAAAAGGAGATTGACAACGAGATTGCTTTGGGTGACCAAGACTTTGGTAGTGACCACGGCACCAATACTGTGGATGTACCTTCTTATGACTGGACTGGTGATACACAAGAGTTAGAAAATAAGACAATAAATGTGTCAATCGGGACAGAGACGGAGGCAAATACATTAGAGTCTTCAACAGAAGCACCCCTTTCAAAAATCCCCTTGTCTGTGAAATCCACGGAAAAGCGCACCAACAAGGCTGCTCTGTTGAGAGAAAAGAAAGCAAAGGAAGAACTAGAGGAACGCAAAAGACAGGAAGCTCTCAAAGCCAAACAACAGGAAGAAGAGGAGCTGAAGAATAAGAAATCGCAATATAAACGCCCTGTTATTGATATGCGTACTCTAGACGAGATTGTAAGTTAGTCCACACCACTTATTTTGTGTCCGGGAATTTTGGTACTTTTTTTCTTCTCGATTCCTAGTAATTATGCGCGATTGGTAGTTTAACCACTTTTCTACTTTGCATGGCTACATTTAACATCGAATTTTAAACCTACCATATTGGTGATAAAAGTGTTAGGAGAAAAAAAACCCACAAAACCGAATGGAATAATGTTGTTGAGGGAAGCATTTACAGATAGAGGCCGGCGTGCTCGTAGCTTGAAGTATTCACGTCAAGTTTGCCCCAATTTTGACAGAGGCACCGAAGTCTTGTGTTTCTGAGCGGTTGATTAGTACCTCATCCAGACCGTTCAAGAGTGATATACTGTACCAATGTTTGCATCACTGCGGGTGACTAAATGCTCACAGTGAGCTCAGTCACTAAACAGAATAGCGTGTAAAGCCTACCCTGGCATTTAGGTCAATGTGCAGGGCGGCCAAACAAAAATCACTTCTGGAAAGCCTACTCGGCGGTTCGGCCAGACCAAGACTCGCTTCAAGGGAGTATATGCTTGTTTGGCTATGGCCGCCATTCGGTGTCTGTTTTTAAGGTTCAATTTCTCCCTTCTGTCCATGTGTGTGCGTGGTTGTGTTCCCATGACTCATTACTCCGCGTCCGGCATTACTCAGCTTCACTGTTGGAGGCTTGGGGTGACCGTTTTTGCTTCAACCACGGCAGCTGTGATTTGACAATTCGGTCTGACCCAGAAACACAGGATTTTACAATCAATCCTTTCTTAATCTCGATTGGCTCAAATTCGGGTGTACGATTGGTGGTCTTCCCCATTGACTTTCTAAAGTCGATTTTAATTGGCTGGTAGAGAAGTTACCGCTGTAAACTGTGAGCTACATACTGTCTCTGCAAATCAGGTTGAAGCATTGAGAAAGATGCTATCGGGAAGACATTCTACGTTTTGTGAATAGTCTGCGGACTTTTAATTGCTTTTTTCCCGTTTCTTTCCCAGAAACGACCAGCCACTTTTCATTTCTAGCTTCTCACCTATACAAGGTAATAAATTGCCTTTATTGCAAACAAATAAGATTGCTAGGCATGAAGTAATCCATCATTGTCCCCAAACCGATAAATGTTTTGATCAAGAATGACGAACCAGTCGATTGAAAGGAGGGGATGGTGGAATCTTTTACTTCCACACGCTCAAAAACTGGAGTTTGGATTTCATTACTGCCAGTAATGATTGGTATTGTTGTGGAAATGTTGTTGCTTTTGTTCTGTGAGTTCTCGTGAGATCACGGTCATTGAGTAAACACTTTTCCCACATGCCTATTTTTATTGTTCCAACTGGTTTTTATTGCTAATAAACACGCTCACTGAACCAACAGTAAAAGTTGCTTACAGTCGATGTGGTAATTCCTAAACTGCATCCTCTGAGGGTGATATGTTTGTGTTAATTTTAAGGTCATCAAATCCGAACTCATGACTCATCGATGTCAGGATGGGTTGTTGGTCCTCCTCCAAACCTGACAAACAGAATTACGCTGTTTGGGTAAAAATTAGAGCACCTCACAGCTATAAAAATATCAAATCGACACAGTTGCCCCTATTTATAAAGCCAGAGTGAATTTAAGCTCATACATATGAAGTATTTCCTCCACAAAGTGAGGAGAACCTCCCCATCCCCGTCCGATTTCCGGCCATTGACCTCTCAAATGTGATTAAGCTCTGATAAAAAGATCCGGCTTTTTACTTTGGATATTTTCTGTCCCCATGAATTGTATCTTTTCTCTCCATTTCTGTGGGCGTAAGTGCGTACATACATGAGTCACTGAATACAACGGTTAACGGGCAAGATGCCTCGTGGCGCGGGTATTGGCTCTTGCGGCAATCATCTGTCCCGCCTCTCTCATCCCTCCTTCACCTCTCCATGCGTATGTATGTTGTTACAAACGATAAGACGACATTTGGACAGTCAGGATAGATGATGGTTCTTCATGTGTGCCGTATTGGACAAAAAATCGCAGGGAAAAAAAGTGATGTGACCAACATAGATCAAAATTTCTGTTTGTGATAGCCTTTTTATTTCCCTGTTGGATGTAATTCTTTTTTTTGTTTTTCACGGATCCTTCAATGGCTGCATACATTCTTTGGCGTATTTTTTACCAGTAGCACCACATAAGTGGATAAAATGTGACAGCTCGTAACAAGATTATCCACTTTGATGGTGCGATATGCGTGTCACTGAATTACTTTCGTTGAACTTTGACTACTTTTTAATCTCTCATTCTTGTGGTTTCAAGTGAAAGTCCCTAAATCTATAATCACGGCGACAGATAATTGGCACAAGTAAACACGACCTCTCTGTACTTTGTTTGGTTTAAAACTCGAGCTTTTCGACAGCCAAAGTAGCATCTGACAAAGGGCCTAAGTGGGCGAAAATTGGAACTGGAATTTAGACTCCAGAAAATAATTTGGTGTTCAGAGCACTTTTAGTCAAGTCTTACATCTGTGCAATTACCAAAGATGTATAATAAAATCGTCTTTGCATTCTTCTGCTTTCTCTTTCTCAAGGTTCGCGAAAAACTGGCCCAATGCACGTGTGAACAGACCTTTCCCATGATCCGATTGAGTGAGGGACGCTATCTTTTCGGTGATAAGAGTACGCAAATCTTTGTTCGTGTAAGTCACCTTCCATCCTATACAGCAATTTGTAAGACGCTTTGTTTCTTCTCCTCAAATTCCCAGAAGTGTCGTTCTAGGCTTCGTATCATGCACGAACTCTTCAGGAGCTCGTAATCCAATCCCATAGACGACTTTACCTTTAACGAGTCTACTTCTAGCCGTCACAGCAGTAGCCTAAGAAAGTGTGGTCATCATTTCCAGCCTGGAGAAATATGATCATGGGAATACAGAACATGAGGCGCTATTCTTCTCATGGATGGGTTTCGAGGAGGTGTGACGGCTTGTACTGTCTTTTAAGTGGACTTTCTTCGAACCGACTATTTCAAAATAAAAAATTTCGCCTGGATTACTCAGGGAAGACAAAGCTCTGCCATAGTTATATTTGACTTTTAGCAAGTGAAAAATTACGTTTTCGGTTTAACATTCACACATGCACTCAAACAAAGAAAGCATGTTTTACAAGAGTAGCATGAGTAATGAGTGAATTGTTTTAAAGTAGCTGATGGTGTGATAGTTTGTTTAACTTTGCATTTTAAAATTGCATTTCGCTACAAATTTGCAGACAGCCTAAAAGACGGTGCGAGTTTAGTACTCATGTGAAAGAAGCGTCGAACACCGTGCTGGCGGTGTCTGCGGCTGGTTGTCACCTGTTAGTGCATGTGGGTAGGACCCACCTGCTTAACTTTATCAATGTCTTTACCTGGTAACGTGGATGTAGACGAACTAGGTCATCACCAGTGATACCAAAGCATGTTCTCGACACGTAAATCTCACATCACCTTAAGCAATGCCGGCTCGCAACTCTTCATGACTAAGGATGGAAAGACTTCCTCAACTTGATAGAGCATCTGTGAATTGCGTTATTCTTGGACCGGCTGTTCTACTGGCGCACCTTCACGGAGTTCTGTGGAACAGACTTGACGATGGCCACTACTATCACCTTTGAAGGTGGGTTAAACGGGAACCAGCAAGGCGGGTAACCTCAAACCCCAGATCTATGAGATCCAACTGGCATTCAATGAACTGAGAGTTAGTTGAACGTGGGAAGAAGGTGGTACACTGAACAAGACCAAAATGATTTTGTCGCATGTCTGTGCTTTGTAATAAATATGGACAGTCAGGGGCGCTTGGCACGTCCTCACAGCGGACTAAATCGAATCACTCACTCATGTATCCCCAAATTCGTTCGCATTCATTTAAAAGTCCGCTTTTTAATTTCCCAGTCATTTCAATCCTTGTGCGTGGTTCCATCTTTGTTAGACAAACAGGCAACTCTTTCGGAAAGACCTTACCAGGTAGGGTAAAAGGACGACTAGTCGTGTCCACGATGTATGTGCCGACATTTGGAATTTAGGTTAAGTGGATAAAATTTACAATCACGCTGCATTTTTTCTCACCTTTTTCGTTTTTACCTTGGTCAGATTCTTCGAAGCCACGTCATGGTGCGTGTTGGTGGAGGCTGGGATACGTTGGACCACTTTTTGCAAAAATATGACGAATGCAGGAAGGTACAACAGCCTAGTAAGTTAATTTTTACATTTTAAATTCTCAGTGTGTGTTTTTACAGCTCGACTATTTTACCCGGAGGACCTTCATTCAAAGTAAATATTTTCATGTACTTCTTTGTAAATTTGTGGTCATCCACTCGTGAACTGGTCCCTTATTCTCCATTTATTCGTTCTCTCGCGGCGCATTCGGAGGTTTCTGCTAACTGAGAATTAAAAAGTGTATTTTGATGCAACAGCGCAGTTACTTGCGTCCACTTCCTTGACCACTTGAAAACTGCGCTTCATTTTATCTAACGGCGTCCTTTCTTCTCTCTGTGTGTGTGTCCTTAATGCGGTGGCCGATCGAGGTTAACCTAGCAGGTATTTTCATGGCACCACAACTAATCTTGCCTTATTCACATTGAAGGGGGAAAATATTTAAAGATCCATTCCCATGCATTTGCTTGTCTGTTCGTCCATTCTTACCCACGTTTACACGCATAATTTTAGTGGGAGATAGGAGATAATTTATGGAAATGAAGTCAAAAATGGGGTTGTTTCCATATGCCACAGATTTTTCATATTGGGAAAATACTTTATTCAACAGTTTTTCAGTCGCTCTGACAATTTAACTAAAACTTTCATCCCCCTTGGATTGGATTATTTCTGGCTCATGAAGTACGTTCTAGACGGCGAGGATTCTCTTTTTTTTCCTTTTGATTAGGACGAACAATGGCTTTTGCCTGTCATTTCGCACATATTAGCGTCTGGTGATGGCTTAAGCGCACAATTTGGGTGCCAAGGCCGCTTAAGACAGACATATGTGTAGAACTGGTTGATGGTTTTCTACCCGAGCTGACGCGCACCAATGGCAGATCTGCTGCCATAGAAGCAATTACTTGTCAGACTTAAAGCGATTAGCACAGAATACTAACCACTGTGCTACATCATGCCGCGTGCACCTTCAAAAGTGACATGGATGTGCAAGATGCGAGCGCATGTGTACATGCTGAGCCTCGGGCCCTAAATTTTGACTTTCTGGTGGTGTTTAAGCAAGTACCCATAGCTACAGATATCTGTGTGTGTGTATCTATGTGCAGATCCGTTCCGGATGAGGAATGAGTTTTATAGCCGTTACCATGGCTATCCTCGAGTCAGGCGAGGGTAATCCAAGTCAAATAGGGACTTTTGAGTGTCTATCACAGGATGATGAGCAATTACCTTTTCCACTCAGTTCTTCATCCTATTTGCATTTATACTAACATCTACAACGGTCAACTGTTACCTGGAATGTGGCTTTGACAAAGGGAGACTCTTCGCTATGGCTGTCATTCTGCTTCCACATTATTCCTCTGCTGTGGGTCTCCTTTTAACTTCGTCCACGGACAAACTGCTGTACTTAGGTTCCGCTACGCGTAATGACTATCCAGGAAATCCTTCCACCCATTTTTACCGTAAGTTATGCGTCTGATAGAAGTGACTGCAGTCCCAGTGAACTAGAATAGAACCACCACGAAGACGACTTCCTCTGACGTAGAGAAGTGCAACTGCGCATCTATGGAACGTTGGCACCATCCAATTAAATATCTTACTACTAAGTGGCTGTTCACAGGATAACTTCCACCATCGTTACCAATACCTTCATCACCACTATCACTGTCTGGATTGGCCAAAGGCGTACACCGGATAGTAGAGGCAGGAAACACTTGAGGTTTACAGACAACTGTGGTATCATTGCAGTATTATTCCATTGAAAAACTTAAAGAAATGAAATTCTTGGTTTGAAATGAAAGACGTTTGGATGAATTAACTCTTCGGAAAAGATTTCACAAGCGCTTCCCATGAATACCCCCTATAACTTCAATCAGCCTCGCATCCTTTCTAAACTAGAGCATCCACTTTTGGTTGAAAGGTCAAATATTTCTCCTTTTACCGTAGACAGCCCATCAACAACGGACAAGCGTCTCCAATTCAAGAAAGAACATTCACGCTCAACGGAAGAGGCAGTGTTGGATACTACCAACACAGCAAGTCTTGTTAGTGCAGTTTCTGGTAACAGAAAACAGTCGGTGGGAATGGGTGAGGTGCAGGGTTCTCTTCTGGGTGAAGGAAACCTCCAGGTGACAAAGAAGGGAAGGGAAGTGGTCTACACTACCGCTGAAGTGATTCATAAATCATCATCGAAGTGCAACCTCGCTCATCATTGTTCCAAGGTAGTAGAAGGGCCGGTGAAGTCAGACAGGAATGAAAGGGGTAGCGAAGAGAAGCAACTCTCATCCACTTCCAGCATTGAAGATGTTGCTTTGACTCCAGTAATAAGTCAGGTGGGTTTCCATCGTTTCGATCTTGTGGGGTATAGTTATTTGTAAAACACATCATTTGTGCTGGTTTAAAGTTCCTTTCCTCCTCAAGTGGGCAGGGCTTGATTCTACCCACGAGAGATTTGAAAGAATGCTGTACTATCACATATAATTAATGCTTAGGAGTAAATAGAAAGAAGTCTTCCTGATAATTGTTTTACCCCAACGAATGTAAAATTTGCCGATTTTTTAGACGACGGATAAACCACAGCTCGCTAAAATTTCACAAACGTCTTTAACGGACCAAATAGACAATTTTATTCAAATAAAGGAGGCGCAGAAGGAGACTTTGTTTGCTCAAAACAAGGAGTCAAATGCTGCCGTCCTCGCATCCACCACTTCCAGCATTGAGGATCTTCCACTGATTCCAGTAATTGATCAGGTTGGCACATCACTTGTAACTGCACAGGTCATTTATTGGTTGAAGCTTGTTGACAAAGAACAAACAGGGGCTAATTATTATAAATATTGGTGGCTTTTAATTGTTTCTCCAACGCCAACATCTTTATTCAAATCTGGCTTTATAAGTGCAACGTTTCCACAGCCACCATCATTAAAGCGCAATTTTGATTGGTCAATTCAACTGGCATTATACGATGTAGACTGACAAAGAATGCATTAAATTTTGATCAATGATGGTGTCATCAAGGGTAATTCTTGGACACATCTAACATCTAGAGGTATTTGCTCGCATCGTAGCATCTTATTACTGAGTTAGCGTCTCCTTTTATTATCCGTGTAGGTTGTCAGTGGATTTAATGCGGAAGTGAAACCTCTTACGATTAAGGAGCCTACTTTGGATACAACTCCGGTAAAGGCGAGGTTAAAGCCCAACCCACTTCCCTCTCCCTACAAACCGGGTCCTAATTCTGTTACCCACCGAATCTCCAGCTCATCCAGTGTGTACTCCATCAACCGTCAGAAGGCTACATCTACCCACAACCTCGCCTCAATTGGAAATGCACCCAAACCCAATCTGGGTAAGTTTTCCAAGTCCACAGTTTCTCTCAGTGGTCCATCCTCTGTCAAACGCACAGCTAAACCTACTGGGACTCAATTGAGTCGAATCACTACACTGAACGCTGATAAACGTGCAAAGTCAACCTCTCATCTTGCACCGGCACCTAGTGTTGGTACTCGAACTCGACAGGATGTGGACTCATCAAAAATGAATGTTTGGGAGCGTCTATCTGCTAATGTGCCAAGAAATCCTACTGCACCGAAGATCGTTTCTCCTCCAGCGACATCGCTAAAGAGGCAACAGCCACAACAAAATCACTTCCATACGGAGATCAACCGAACATCTAATGTGAAGCGACGCAACTCAGTCACCACAACAAAGAAGGTTGTCCCTCCAGAGGATGAATCTGGAGTTGTGAAAGCTTCTACACCTACTGCTAAAGCAGATCGAGAGTCTCAGAAGGTGGCACCGCCCACCAGATCGGTACAAACTCGACGCGCCTCGGTAGCAAGGGTGCCTGCAGAGGGTTCACGTATCCCAAGACCATCAAAAGTCCTAACAATATCGGCGACACGATCAAAATCGGTTGGATCAAACCTTCAAGCAAAGCGTGCATCTCCCACCTAAACATTGTGAAACCTGGATTTGCTCTACAAGTCTTTCTACTCAAGAGAAAATTAGTACCGACACTCACGTACACCACCTAGACTGTCTGCCTTTGCGCAGACAAAAAAAGAATAGCACAACTACACATTCCACCAAATATGCCTTAATGCTGCTGCAGTTGACTGTGATATGAGCAATTTTCTCAGCACCCTTTAACATTTTGACTTCACTGCCACCTAACCGACACACGGATGTCTGTACAAAAAGAAAAGGAATAGCAGTGGCTCCCATTCATATCTTACCTATCATTTATCGACTTTGATAATTTTTGATTACATTTACTGCATCAGTAAACATATTTTCTGTTCCCCTCTTTTTTTCTTTTTGGAATAAAAAAGCGTTTTTTAATGAATTATAATACTAAAGTATACTTTGAGCGTGGATAGGAGTATCCAAAAGTAGCCTCAATTCAGTACATCTGGAAGTATTAACAACCACTTTGGCGCCGTTGATAGAAGAGAATGTAGGCGTCCGGTGTGACCACGCTCTCCTTTCTAACTTCCTAGAAAGTGTTGAAAGGGAGGCAAAGAGTGAGGTAAGATGACTCAAGGCTAAATCGGTTTCTTGTGCATTTCTGCGAGTAGTAATTGTTAGAGGCTATTCATAGCGACACGAAAAGTGGTGTGGTTTTACAGCACACTTTTCTCAAAAAGTATCCCTGGCTAAATTTGCCTTGGATTAGAACCAAGAGGAATGTTGACAGTTCGACCCTCTCTACACGACGAGTGCGTTGACAGAAATGGCACCTCGATGCATATCCTAATGTCAATGTGAAAATTTGGACCATTTGAGAGCTGAGGCGTCCATTGTCTTTTGTGAAGAGAGTTTGCTAATATGTGGTATCCTTACTCTCTCGGAGTGATTGATGAATGCCTTTTCACGAGATTTTATATTGTCAAAACGTCACCCCACATGCCTACCGAATTAGGGTGGTATTAATTAACTTAAGCGCAGTACAGCTATGACTGGGAGGCTCCATTTTGCCATGAAACTTGTAATATCGCAAATAGAGTCATGTGGTAGACGTACTGATGGGCGGTGGGTGGAGAGATGACAGAGGATGCACTCTTTTCACTTTGTATGTGAACTAACAACCAGACTTGGTGTGGTTGAGAATCAAGAAACAGGAGCTAGAGCCTTTACATTTCATTACAGCGGCTGTGTAAAACACGCAGTGATGCGCATCTAATAGAACCTATTTCCAGAGGTTCACTCCGGACATAATATATCAAGGTGGCAGGGTTTTACATCATATTCAAGACGTGGTTGATATCTCTACACCATACTTTCACGCTCTTCATGACGCAAAACCGATTCAGAGGCTGAGCACAATGGCAGAATGGTAGTTGTTCTACCCGTGTATACCACTCCACGGATCTTCGCTGATAACGTCATCCATCCCAATCATTTTCGAAACCTTCGTTGTCTAGGATGAATATAACCTCTTGCATATTTGTTAACATTCTTGAGGCATTGAAATTATTGATGGTGCGTTGAAATGTGTTTGTTACAAGTCTGTAACACCACTCTCAAGAAAAGAAAATCAAAGTATTTCATAAATGTTTTAAAAGTATGATCCTGACAACTAAATTAGCAGCATGGTGACGTACGGAGTACTGCGTGTCATTGACACGGAACCAGCGTCCATCCTCAATACGGATGGAGGCGTAGTAATGGCCTTCGTCCAACTTGCCCATATGATTCACCACCGCGTAGAGGTCGTATAGGGTGTTTTCACACTTGGCTTCCTTCGAGAGATAAGCCCGCATATCCAGTGCGGTGAGAGGAAAGTCAACCAGCTCTGAGGACTTGCGCCATCCGCGACTGGTTGCATGGAACCTCTTTATGGAGATCAACTAAACAGAACAAGAGTTTAGCAGTCCATTCCCCTTACGAAGATTAGTGAGTGCCATAGTTACCCAACTAATTAAATTTAAAAAAATGCTTAAAATCGGACTCTACGGTTCTGTAGTCAGGTTGATCACAAAGTTGCATGGAAGGAGACAAAATTGTTTATTCCTCCACCAAAGTTCACTTCGGGAAATTCAAGCGTTAAAGCTAGCTGTTCCACTGGCTTACAGTAGTATTAACTTGGGTGATTAGGTTTTCTCACGCGAGACACCTCATTTTCCAACTACCAAGTTATCCTACTAGCTCTGTTATTGCTTCTATCAACCGTGCCTCACCAAAAAATCTAAAAAATTGCGTCTGAATGGAATCGTGTGCTTTAGCACACTCACTGCACAAGCACTTTTTCCCACCAACTCCACCTATTTGACTTGGAGAGCAAAACAAGTCTACAGTTTTTCTTAAAAAAAAGGTTAAGGTTAAGGAATTACTTACAAGTACATCAGGCAGTTCACGTATCATAGTGGACATAGTAAAGCACTTCCTTTGTTGACATTCGTCGCACAAAATACTATCGCATTTGTTAACAGATTCTTCTTTGAAAAAGTTTTGAAGAAGACTGGTCAGTTGAATTGCTTTAGCTGCGTCCAAATCTGGAGTGTCAATGACCTTCCGTTCCTTGGCGAGAGAAGGGTTACTTAACATTAAAACACCTACCACTTCCTGAGTCTGTTGATATTCATTGATAAATGCAGCCAAATTCCAATCAGCGGCAATATAGATACAGTCATTTTCAGTTGGTCGCAAATTTACCCTCTTTGAGTTGCATGGAATCGAGCAACCGCGACACATTCTATTCACAAAAGAAAGTTACGTCAGCTGAATTAATTTGTCTGAGCATAAGTCTACTAAGCCATGCCAAATGGAAACCAAATTAGACACTAATTAGCATAAAAGAGATAATAAAACCGAGTGTCTGCATCAGATTGGAGAAGACAACAATCGCGTCAACAAGACATTCTGTCAGAAACACAATTCGAGTCAGATAATGGCTCGTAAAAATAGTGACCTACTTTGGCCAGCGACATTTTGAACACTTCCAAAAGTGCTTTTCTGCCTGTTTGAGTTCGAAAATATATTTTCCATCGTCGGATTTGCTGTAAAATGAAAAATATCTGAATGGTTTTTGACATCCCTGGCGTTGGTAATTATTTACTTAAATACTATTAGTAGTTGGCATTTTATAGCCATTAAATGTGGTATTAAATTTAAGTTAACGTAGTTTAGTCGAATATTCGATGGGGGGAAAAAAGATCCGCACTTTTTTGTCTAAAAAATATGGCAAGTACAGCAGCCACTTTTGCCAATTGTTAGTAGTAAATTCACGTACATTCATGCTAGCATATGGTTTACTTATCAAAGGCAGAAGTAGGCATAATTTGATAGGCCTTCGATAAATGCCAACCCTTATTCGCAAACATTAGCTCTACTGGTAAAAGGAGACGCTTGTGACAGTTATTACGCAGCATGTATGAAATTCAAGGTTAAACAGCACCAGGAGTAGATGATACAGATGAAAGGGCGTAGCTGTACACACCCTTCACCAACTAAGCTGTGCACTGTGCAGCGAATTTCATTTACAAGGGTAAGTTTTGAGCATAGATACTGTAATGAAGGTGTGGCAACGACTGCTATCCAATGATCTCATTCCATTTGAAACCAATTTTCTCCAAATTACATGTATCTCAACTAATCCCATTCTTGATCACACACCGGAAGCAATGGGTAGGTAAAGCTTGCCTGAACTTTAGAACCGAACACATTCTGGTTCCATCAGCATTGAGATGGCTGGCGGTCTTAAGGCAGCAGTCATGTAGTTCCACCCTCTTACTGGATTGATGATACCGACTGATGCACTTTTCTACGGTATCGTAAAGCTCCCTATTTGTGGTACTGGAAGATAATGGAAGCACAATTGGGGACCCAAGTAGCTCGCGTTGAATTGCGGTCTCTTCCAAAAGAGGTGATTGGGAAGGAACCTTAAAGCAAAACAGATGCAAGGTCCTTATCCCTTTCTCAGTGGAGAATGTGACATGAGGGAAGCACCTACTAGTATCCGATTTTGTACAATGACCATCACCTCTCTGCCTGATGACGAGCCTGGTAATAAGTAAGAAAAATTCACAAAAAGATTAATTAAGGGGGTCAGGATAGTGGGTTACACCTTCTTACCTAGTTGGTCAAAAACCCTACCTGATTTACGTGAAGGGAGAATAAATGCCCAGTAATCAGATTTGTTATTAACTTCCACCTGTAGTTTTTGTTAAAAGGAAAGAGATATAAAAGTATCAGTCAATCATATTATAAAATTTCGACTTCCAAAGCAGCTTAAAATGTAAATGTAGTAACAAATAACTCACGTTTTCTGTAGAAGAGTGCGAAAGACGCTAGATTAAGCAAAAGGAAGAATTAATAGCTTGGTAACTAGATCGAGGGCGACAATCAGTACCCCTCATCTTGAACTGGGGTAGGTCACTGCTAGAATTTGTCATAAGTCCGTAGGAACTTCCTAATCTATCTGAAAATATGTAGAGTTAAGTCACATTTGATGGTATCGAGAAATTAAATTTCACGAAAGTGAGATGTGGGGAGAGAGAATCAGTAAAATCCGACTTTGTTAATGTCACAAGACATGAGAGCTATTTACCGTCAATACTTTATTATTATTCAGTGCCAAGAAGACTTGATTTGACGAGCACTTGTATCGTCGAGAGACCTCCCAAAGAATAAAGTTCAAAGTAATGGGATAGACACTTTCAAGTCTGATTACCTCCGGCACTGCTTTATAGGAAGGGACAACTGTAAAAAAGTGAAATCGCACTTGAATTGAGGCAGTTTAAGTGGCTAACACTTTCTTCAGGAAGGAGACTAACCAGTGAGAATGATGAAATGATCTTCATCATTTGGAAGGGGTAGAGTTAGACTTGCAAAGGGATCAAAAGACAACGACTTGTGGCAGCATCCCTCGAATCGGCATCGTGATTCGCAGAGCCCATAAAATACATCGGTAATGGGGGAGTCATTTTCTGCACAGAATGTTCTCCATGCCTATTATTTAAAGTCGTATAAAATGAATAAAATCCATCGAGGTAAAAAGTAAACCTACCTTTTCTGCAGTAACACATTTATTTATGATGCTTTTTTTCCGCCTATCGTGGGGATTAAGAGCACGAACTTTGGACGAGGAATTCTTCCGTTTCAATTCCTCATTCAGTAAGTCGAGAAATATAATAAGAAATTCATGTGCATCCTGTTGTACAAAAGAACTGAAAGTGGGCGCCTTTTGGACGAAAGTATGCTGAAAGGAAATTAATATAGACATACATGAGAAATAACAAGTGACAATATCCACCCAACTTCAGTCAACTTACCCATAAACTCCGAGGATTCACCAAGCTTTCTATAGCCATTTGGTCGAGGAGTTTTTTGTATTCATTAGCTAGTCTATGACAAGAAAGTGGATAAAAACCGACTGCCACTGTTACTTTGTTTGTGATGTAAGATACGGTATGATCAGGTGCTCAAGATGTGGTGTCTTTTGGAGACACTGAATCACCGAATTGAAGTAACATGTGTTGCCCATGTTTTTGAGACCGACAAATGAACCACTTAATTCTAAGAAATAAAGACTGTCAAAGAGTTGTGTAACCGAGCCTCACCTTTGCTTGGACATTGTCCCAGTGGCCAAAAGTAAAATTGGTATAGGCCTATAAATGAAACAAGTAAAACTAGGGGAAAGAAAATGGGCAAACCTACATTCAACAACAAATTCAAACTTTCTAGAGCACTTTTCATAGGGATCAAAGAGCTCTGTGTAATGCTGAGCCAGTGGATCTTGATCAGCCAAAAATCTACTGAGCTGGTGATTTCCAATCGCTTTGAGATCGACTGGAACCAAGCATGTTTGTTTGGCCAGTAGATTGTTATTAGGGCTGCCGCTATCCTTCTCGTCATTATTGACGGTGCTGTTAGAGCTGGAGGATCCTCCGTTCTTTGTGATCTGGCTCAATTTTGGCCTTTGACGGGATGCAACAACTGGTTCGGAGGCTTTAATAAACCATACACGATAGTTGTCGGGTGTGAGGTCGCGGTTGCGGTAATCACCGAACTTCTTGCTGATGGCTTCACATACCTCCGAAACCGTGTGACATCGCGAAAAAACAAAACGCAGTGATTGCTCTGAAAGCCTTTCTGGAGGGACATGGATGCAATTACGGCTGGAATTGGACCAATTCGCTCCAGGCATGGAAATGCTACGCATTGGGACACTGGAGTTGATGGATTTTGAAGGCCTGTGCTCTCCCCATGCTGTTGGAGGGCAAATACAAATTACTTTTTAAGACTTGTCAAACCTTCTCACGGAATTCCTATTGATACTACACTTAGAATTGGGAGGAATTCAAGATATTTAACACACGGATTCAATATAGATTTAGCATGTCTTTCACATAAAAGACCTTGTCTGAAAAAAAAAAGTTGCTTACCTGGATCAAGACGAGGCTTCTCATTCGAACTGACTAAGCGTTTCATTATAGACGATTTTTTCCCACCTAAAATGCACCACACAAGATTTTAATAATTTCAGATTTAATTAACAAAGTTTTCAAGAATAATTTACTACTGGCGTTAAGGTAGAAGGCAAAATGCTTTTAACTAGATTGGCAAGCTGACAAGCGATCTTACTTGGTATTGCTATTGCATCGATTCCACTATAGGCTGGTGTGAACGGATACTCACAAAACTGGGGATTTTTGGGTACCCCAGTGTCAGTGATAACACCTACGGTAGGTGAGACTTTGGGTTTGCTTCCTGCGGTCCAGCGAACACCGATTTCTAGGGGATGCATTTCCAGCACCTCCTCTTTTGAAGCATTATATGCTAGTGTGTAGAGAACCAGGTAACTGGGCATTAATTGACCATTGTCACTGATACCAATACCGTTGGTGTTTATGCCACTCCAACCTTGCATTCGTTCTGCAAGTCGTCTGTCCACCGCGATGTGTGTGTTTTGGGTTGTTGCATTCATGCCCACACTCTCTTTAGGTGTTTTAGTTTTTGGCTGAAACAGACGGTGAGATGCTCAAAGGTAATCCAGATATGCACAAATTTTCTAGGAGGAGACACTTGGTGTTCCGGTCACACCCAGCGAAATTGTTTATAGCATTATAACACCCTGTTGCTTGGGAACTACCACCAAATTGCTACAAATATAGGAAGAAAATTCACTAAGATGGCAAAAAGACAGTAAAGATGTAAATGATGGCAGCTTTGTGTGTATTTCCGTGTTTCGCCTATTCTAAGCGTGGAATCAATTACAAAGTGTCTGGCGATGGAAGAAGCGTCTAGCACAATGAGAGATTAGGAAAAAGGTTGACGTAAAATTATGAGTTTATGTGATAATCTCATATTTTGTATATAATTTAGATACCTGAGATGCCTCCGATGACTTTGCATTATTAGCGGAGGGAGTACCGTCATCTTCCCAGGTCAAATTTACCGAATTATTGACATTGCTGCTGCGCCGACGTCGTTGGTGTTGTCGGTAAATACCTCTACTTGTTTTCTTTTTGGCTTTTATCTCGCGGTGAGTAAGCTTGTATTTGAAGAGCCGTTGCAGGGGTTCCCGATGATGCACCGATTTTTCCAGTACCCTAGCATTCAGCCCCTCTGCAAAGCTAAGGCTTCGCATTCTATCAGTTGACGAGGTACGTCTCGGTGATGCTCGCGCGGTAGGGATTGAGGCTGAAGTAAACAACTTCTTGTACAACGAAATGGGATGATAGGGGTCGGGCTTCTCCACCTGGTTGGATAGTTTCAGGGCCTGAGAAAAGTCAACATGAGGTTCAGATTTTTGAATTTTTTTTGCCTAAAGCAGACAATTTATCCTCACTGTATCTGCTATGATAGTCTTCACAAGCAAGACATATATAGCAGTGCGAACTAGCTTTTAAAGTTACTATGCATGGATTAATACATAGTAGAACCCAAAGGGACCACTTTAGTCGAGTAGAGTGCCTATGGGTTTGAGAGACTTTGATGGCACTTACTTTAAATTCAATGAAGTCACGTGGATGGGTTAAATAAAGCCTTACCGCTTTGATTCCTTGTGCGGCTAAGGATGGCCAATACTTTGAAGAGACAACAAACCACTGGCTTCCTTGTTTGGACTGTTGTACGATAACGTAGTGCAACCATAACCTGAAAACAAAGCGCACTTCTTTTGCAGTGAAAACATGCCTGAAAAAATGTCAACAATGTAGCCAAGAGAAAAATTCAACAGCTTACATGATGATCTTACTTGTCTCCGACTCCGAGGAAGGGAGAGGCAATCCAAAAACGATATGCATTGACTAAGGATAAAAGTTCGGCTTTCACATACTATGATTATTAACGAATAAAATATGAATATGAAAAATTAACGAGAGGAATGAAAGAATGAGATCATAAGACCTACTGCTTTTATAAATTCGATCAAATGCAGAAATGCTGGATTGTTTTCAGCCCAGGTAGAGAATTTAGATAGCGAGGTGCATTTCCCCTAAAAAATGCAAGGCGAGACATACTACTTACACCTCCGATGTTAGTAGTAGTGAAAGTCGCAGTTGACAGAAATGCATTCACCTAAGATTTGTCCCGGTGATAGTGAATTAATAAATTTCCCTGACAGAATAGGCCAAGTTTTTAAGTTTACCAACTCACAATGTCGGAGATTTTGCAAGAAGTTTCCTTTCGAATCTGTAAAAAATAACAAGATTTAGTATTAGTAAAATGCCATCTTCTTGTAGCCCATTCATAAAAATGACTAATCTATGATTTCATAATAAGTGAAGAGGGCTCAAGTTGGCAAGATTACAAAGTGGATTGGATTTGAGAGCACTTAGAATGACAGGCAATAGATGGTAAAACATACACGTGATGGAACAAAGTGTCGAAGGATAAAATCAGCGTCGTTGGAATTAAAAGTCACCTCGGCTTGAGATCGTGAGGAAAACATCTGAAAAACACCTTAAGATAAAGTAAAAAAGTATATAGGTTAGTAAAATCAACTAGCTAAATACGCCCCTTGAGCTTATTTGTCGTAGGTGCATATTAAATGCTTGATGCATAAAGGTCCGTCTGTGCCCCATGACAATGCCATAACCAAACTTTCTTAGTTGTCAATCAAGGCCTTATTTTAAATTAACCAATTATTTGCTTGGAATAAAATCAGCCACACAAAAAAAGTTTAAATAAACTCAAAGAAAAACAACAGTGTACACATACGTCTTATGGAATCTGCTTCATTTGCGTGAGGTAAAAAGGCGAGCCCCCTGTAAAATTCCATTTCATCAATGTATCCATCATTGTTGATGTCAAAAAACTTGAAAAGACCTATAAACACGTGGATTTTTAGCAAAGAAAACATTTTACCAGATATGAAAGGAT